TAGTTCTTAATGTGTATGTTTTACTTGGTTTGAATGTGTACGTAAACAGTCAATGTTAAGTAATTCTTAATGTGTATTGTTTTCTTGGTTTGAATGTGACGAAACAGCAATGTTAAGTAGTTCTTAATGTGTATTGTTTTTCTTGGTTTGAATGTGACGAAACAGCGATGTTAAGTAGTTCTTAATGTGTATTGTTTTTCTTGGTTTGAATGTGACGAAACAGCGATGTTAAGTAGTTCTTAATGTGTATTGTTTTACTTGGTTTGAATGTGACGAAACAGCAATGTTAAGTAGTTCGTGATGTGTATTGTTTTTCTTGGTTTGAATGTGACGAAACAGCAACGTTAAGTAGTTCGTAATGTGTACTATTTTTCTTGGTTTGAATGTGACGAAACAACAAAAGTCCTGATAGAAAAAATAGTATTTGTAGTTTCAATCATCTTTAAGATACAAAAGTATTTGTTTTAATTTTTAACATGCTTAATTTTTTTTGTACTCTCAAAAGGAGTCCCGACTTCTATACAAGACGTGAAGAAATTTTTAGAATAAATATTTATTTTTATTAATGTCTTTACGTGTAAATGTTATTGTTTATATATAGTTTCTCGAAGATTTAAAGAAACACAAAACATTATTCTTCTCCTAATGAATATAAATCATTGAACTGCAAATACTTTTTCGCAAGAATATTCTGCTGACCTATAGCAGCCCAACTCAACAATGGTTTTGTTTTCAATTTTAAAGAATATTACAAACTCTATCTGCATTGACAACCATACTAAATCGTTATACGTTTATAAAAGCTTCAGATAATAGTATATATATGTACCTAAAATATTTTACAGACGGTTTAACACAAAATTATTTCCACTTGAAACCATTTTCGCGAAAGATATTTCTCAGTTATAAAAAAAAAGAATCAACAGTTCCCTCAAAAAAGTACATTACAAACAAGAAAGGCATTGAGAAAGTACAAACCCCCGCTCTGCATTGTTTTTTTTATTTTTGCAGTATCCAATCTACAACATACACCAAACAATTATTCACCCTCAGAAGTGTAGCTCTATGTGCAAAGGTTCTCTTTCTTTTTCAAAATGTTCTCCAGTTTGATCGTTTTTCAAAATCCCTTATACCATTGTGACGAAAGTGGTTGATTTTTACTGTGATATTGACTTTATAGCTATGTTTATCCAAAGTTAATCAACTGGTCTATGTGGGATACACACACACCCGAAATCAGATAAAAAAAAAACATTTTGAGTAATTGGTTGACTTCAGTGTAGCCTTGACCTCTGACATGCGTTCACCAAAAGCGAATCAACTGATTACTGGGGACATTCAATCTTCGTACCAAATTTGATCAACATAAAATGAAGACGCATTTAGTTATACTGTTCACACACACAGGCGAGTGAAAATTATACCCCCATCGTCGAGCAGAGATAATACAAACAGTTAACGTCTAAAAGTTATTTATGATAATTATTTGTTAATTTAGTGTATTATCTTGTACGTTGTAAGGTTGATAATGACACGTTAAATGTCATCCGTTCAGTTAACATCTAAAATTCCTTCTTTTTAGCTGATGGTATATCACGCTCACGTTCAAGTTATTAACGCATGCACGTGCTTATTGTTACTACCAAAGTGATATTCTTGTTAAAGATCACTTTTGGAAATCCTGACAGGCATAACTAAAATGTGAGACGGATGATTTATACAATAACATATATATATATATATTTATATATATACAAACACACACACATAAATACATATATATATATATATAAAGTTAACACGAAAATGGTTTCTACAGTAACATTGTTGGTTCACGTATACATAAAGTAACGCTACTTGAATACTGATGAGTTTATACCTCAAACCTGAACGAATGCAGCATATTCAGCACAGAATTATGCAGAATCTCAAAAATTGCATTTTCTCTTTCTATGCATTTTAGAACTTATGTGAAAGTCAAGTTTTGTTGTAAAGCCACGAGCAGATGCTAAGTTTTACATACACGATATGTTGAAAGAAACAATAATTCAGTTGTAGCAAAATATTTTCGAAAGCAGAAAAACAAGGTCAGAGGTTCACAGAGAAATAGCAGGGATGTGTAATCGGAGGTACACAGAGTAACAGTAGGGATGTGTAATCGGAGGTACGGAGAGTAATAGCAGGGATGTGTAATCGGAGGTACACAGAGTAACAGTAGGGATGTGTAATCGGAGGTACGGAGAGTAATAGCAGGGATGTGTAATCGGAGGTACACAGAGTAAC